AGGTGTGAAATGAGTTCGTTTATCAATGGTATGTGTGTTTGACTATTAGAAACTAAAATAGTTGATTGACTTTACAAAGATTTGTAATTGCCAATTTTGACAATAATAATAGGAGAAGAAGCGTGTTGTACATATGTAAAATTCAAATACATTTACAAATTTTAATCTATATATATTCAGTATAAAAACCTTTATAGACATGTATATAAGTGAAAGTTCTCTTCCTGAAAGCAAATTCTTATCAACAGATTAAAGACAATGGTTCATTTGAAAATATTTCCTTTAAAACATTAAAGTTTGTCCGGGAAATAACTCTGAAACTATAAAAATATCATCACGAATCTTTGTAGGTAGATATATCTCATAGGGTAGAAATGCAGTACATAAGAACCATAAATCTGCCTAGCCTTGTTTTGGAGTAACTGACCTTTGTTAATTTTTACACATTTTACGTGATATTAATAGCTTCCGTCGGCATGATATTAGCCCTTACAACTGGAGAAATGAAAACTAATTATTAAGAATCACCCTTTAAAGCCGAGTTATCTAATGGATAAGATAATAATAGACTGCCTGTCATACCTACACAACTATAGTTAAACTTCGTTCGCTCGAACTCGGATTGCTTGATTAAAGAATTGCCTTGCCACGACAAAATCCCATATAATATTTAATGTATGTACAAATAACCTCAAAATCATAGACAGGTAAAGATTTAAAACGTGTGCATATATGATCCCTTTAAACTGGAGAAATGAAAAAATACATAGAATCACTCTTTAAGTCGAGTTAGCTAATGGGAAATGTAAAAGATGACAACACATTTGATTTTCCCTGTCACATATATACAACTTCTTCATGTTGTTAAAAATGAAATGAAAATAATTTTATGACAACTATGTATGTAAATTTCTTATCATAATCAATGGACAACAGTGTTTACTTCAGTTTGAACTTCATAATTTTAGTTCATAACCTGTTTGATACTGCGCTGGACTTTGCTGAATGTAAAATAATATAAATATTGTTTATTGACATTTGTTTATGAAAAAAGTGACCTGGTAAAATGCAATGTTAATTTGTACACATACAAATATACATACACGAGGTAAATGTTGACATAAATCAAAATGGATATAGTCCATTTACAAATGATGCATGAATATAACTTTATTGCAGACTGACCTTCAAAAACAAATAACAATTATCGAGTTTAATGCCAGAATACAACAGAATTCCGATTAACCATAAATTTATACATATGAGATAACAATAATTTATGCAAACTTTATGCAAACATTTTCCAACATCAACTGTTGGCCAATCATCATTGTAACAGTCAATCTTTTGAAAAATAAAGCCAATTCAGTCAAATGTGTTAGATTTAAAATTTTGCTACTCATTGAAGACAGGTTGATTAAGCTCCTCCAGCAAGTACACAGGTTTTAATTGTTGGTGAATTAATAAAAACAATACTGGAGGACTAAACAAACTTACATTTCTTCAAATAAAATAAACAAATTTTCTTATTATTTCTATTGAGTTTAAGTTAGCGGAAATTAAATGCGAGAAAAAGCAGCTAAATATGAATCCAGGCAACCTGAACTTGGAAAGTATTCCTTATTTGTCTTTTCGTTATAATGTAAGTATTGAAATGACAACGAGCCGGTTTGTGCTTATCTACTCGTATATAAGTTACAACTTTCTGCGGAAAACTCCAGCCTATTGTCTTCGCGATCGATAACAACGCATTTAAACAACAGATAAGTAATAATAACATAAAAATACCGCTCATACCGATATTGTTCGTTTAATATACAGACAATCAGTTCAATAATTCGCAATGTAAATTAAAAAAAAAAAAAAACTGTAATACCGCCTAGGAGATTATAAGCCATCCTGATTTCAGTATTTGTTCTATTTGGAAGTTGTTCGTAAGTTTTCCTAGAAAAGTATTTATTAAGATAATAAAATTTTGTGATGTGGTCTTGCAAATACAGCTTAGTTCATCTCTATTCTATGGTGGCTGATTTGCGCCATTCGTGTTTTCGCCCCGCTACCCAGCCAAGCAAAAAATCGACAATTTACAAATGGCGGGGGCGTGAAGCGAAAATATGCTAATAAGCGAGCGCGAGGGGCGAAGTTAAATAAAATAAATCTTCGTCCCACATGGGGCGCGGAGCGAGATATAAGAAATAAAACGGCGGGGTCGCGGGACGAAAACAAGGTAATTAGAGGAGTCGCGCGCTCCCGCTAATTAGCGTGTTAAGGCCCGCGACCCGCCAAGGAGAAACGTCGATAACTAACATATTAAAATGGCGGAGGCGCCAAGCGAAAACACGCTTATTAGCGAGGGCGCGAGGCGAAGATTAATGAATTAAACTTCACCCCGCGGGGGCACGGAGCGAGATTTAAGAAATAAAACGGCGGGGTCGCGGGACGAAAACGCAATAATAAGCGGGGGCGCGCGGCGAAATTTTATTTATTTGATTTCGCCCCGCGCCCCTCCCTAATTAGTGTATTTTCGTTCCGCGACCCCACAAAGCGAAAAGTCGATAATTAACAAGTTAAAGTGGCGGGGCGCGGAGCAAAAACACGCTTATAAGTGGGGCGCTTATTAGCGTGTTTTCGCCCCGCGCCCCCGCTGTTTTATTTCTAAAATCTCCCGCGACCCCGGAGTTTTATTTAATAAACTTCGTCCCGCGCCTTCGCTAATTATCGTGTTTTCGCTGTGCGGCCCCGCCATTTTAACTTGTTAATGTTCGACTTTTCGTTTGGCGGGGTCGCTTGGCATGAACACGAATGACACAAATCAGCCACCATACTTTTATTGGTTTTTTCACACTAGTAAGTAATATTAATATGCAATAATTTGTGTATGTTTGTGTTATTCATTTAATTTAATTTATTTTCTTTATTCAATTAGTATATTTAATCACACTAAGATGTATGTGCTAAAACCATGGAGGAAAAAGAAACACATATTATCTTTTGTATCTAATTTTAAAAACTAGAATAAAAAGCTGCTTACGGTGAAAGTGACACTGATGTTGAGTGAAGTTGATCTTGATTCTTCAGGCCTTTTTCAAAAGATAGGATATTAGGTATTTTAAAAGTTTTTTAATACTGAACCGTTTCATGAGTATCATAAACACAGATTTCGGTGTCATTGGCTTATCAATGTATCGAATATTTAATTCAAATCAAGTCTTTGCCCCCTACATTCGAAGTAACTTTAGAAAATAATAAATTTAAACGACATTGAACTACATGCTGTTAATTTAAAGTACCTGTTACTGCCGGTTTGTCTCGACAAATCATTATTATGTTCCAATTTTACTAGACAATAAATACATAAATCCCCGCCACGGAAATTTCCAAAAGTTGTCAGGGTTACATTCTACGAAATAACTAACACTTCGACAAATTGTCTCATGAATGACACTTAACCAAATAAATAAATTGCCTGTATGCTGTATGCACAACTTCGTATTTCTGAAAATAGTATATGAATAATACCTGATATCAAAGTACAAAAATCTCAAAATCTTATCTGATTTTCAATGTATAAGTTTATCTTGCTACAAGTTTAATAAATGGAATAAATAATTATATATAAATAATTAGAAGAACCGTAATAAAGGGATCATTTGACGCTCTGAATTTGAGAAACTAAAACTAAAGTGTAATACATCAAGTAATGAACGAATAAAATTATTTGAGGAATGATCATTTCTAGCATTATCATCAATTTTCTTTTTAAATTTCAGTTTTTCTGTTGTTGAAAATATTCTATTTGTCGTATGGTCCTTTTACATGAAATTGCTGTTTATGCCTGTAAGGGACATTAAAACATACGCCTTGATAATTAAATAAATAACACAAACAATTTCTGGCGCAAACCATCAAAGTGCATAAATACAGTTCCGAAATATCGGGGCTTATGAAAAGTAAATACAAAATTGTCTGACACACGAGTTAGAGTATACACTTTGTCCATTGTTAAGTATGGAGCAGCACATTTCAATTTAAGTACACATTCTGTAAGAGCATGAACTGCTACGATGGCCGCTAACTCAGGACTTGGTGCTTTATAGATGTTTAGAGGGACATGGCTGTTGGAAAACATAGCAAAGGACGATTATATTGTTGTTTCATTAGGCAATTGATTGTCAATTACAAAACAAGTTGTAAGTCTAATCACAAAAACTTTTGTATGCACATGTAAATAATTAATTAGATTTTAATATTTTCGTCTTAAGCTCGGTATTTTTCTATGCATGATTCGCCTTGCAGTTTTTGTTGTTGTTGTTTGGATAGTGCCTGTTGAGAAAAGGAATTCTTCGCGTTACATCGTATAGGCGGAGAACTGTTGTCTCAACAGGTGCGACATCAAAACTGGTAATAATCAGTTAAGTCACATGATAAGAGTTATTGACCGTGTGAATTGTCAGTGTAAGTGGTCAGTTCTACAGAGACTCTCTCTTGGTAGACGTCGTTGACTACATTAAAATTCCATAACATTTGTGTGTAATGATGTTCATAATTTCTTATTTGTTATATATAAGAAGCATATATGAACAGTTCCGTTGTCCAGTATACATATGAATAGTCGGGGCATTTCAATTTTAACGCATTGACAAGGCTACAGAATACGTTTCCTCCTGTTTTTTTTAGAAAATTGCAAAGAAAAGATAGTGGGGTTTTCGTGGGCGGCCCGTGTTTTGACGAAGAAATATACGGTTCAATTTTCATATCCGACATGAAAAGCTACGTTTTTTCTTTGCTTGAGATGTTTATGTATTATTAGACTTTAAACATGAGGGAAATCTCATTTTCGATCGTAGCATGCTTACACATCTGCAAGGAAAAAAACACACGTGTTTAGTGGTTTTGACCTATTTCTTTTATTAAAGTTATAGAATTATATTGTAATAGAAAAGTATCATCGTAATAACAAGTCGTCACGTTAGTGCAATAACTGATTAACTGCTATTAAATTTATAAGGACTTATTACGTTGTTGCACTTAAGGTGACGCAATGTCTGCTCCTCAGCAGTGTACAAACATATACGTGTCTCGTCTTGCAGGACAGTGCCGGTTAAGACATATATTCAGAACACAAGACCAGTAGTGTAGTATCAGAATTATTGAAGTGGTATTTATTTTAATAAAATATTGTACAAACATACAAAAATTTCAATGCAACTTCTAAAATATGCACATTTTGTTATAACTATTATATGTATTTAAAAAAAACAAGCACTTATTGTTACACAAATGAATCATTGAATCAATCCTGAAAGCAATTTATATATTGTAATTTTGTCTGTAGATATTGATGAAGAAATAAATATTGTTTAAACCAATTATGAATAATTGAAAAATATACATTTACTATTAAAATGAACTTTGAACAAATACGAGTATGCACTTAATATGTTTTCTTTTCTATGGTTTTTCTTAACAATAAAGTATTTATTGTCTAGCATGTATCACTGCATTTTTACTTTAAGTTTGATGCAAGCGAAAATGTAAAATTTGATCAATGTTTTCAGCAGCTAGTGAACATAAAATTAAAACGCACAAAACTTCCATATAGTATGGAAATGCCTTAAGCTTTACATTTTTGCCTTGTTAAAAAATAAAATAAAAAAAGAAATTGTGAATGTTTTTGTAATATCTTTAAAATAGATAATCATATATATCTATATAAATTTAAACAGTATCAATCAGTTATTACATATCAAAGTTTAAAAAAAAAAAGAAAAAAAAACTACCCCTTTTTAAAGAACGCACAAAATGGCAAACTCGCCAAGATGAAATAAAACTATTGTAGTCGCGATTCGCTTTAGCTATGGAGTCGGTTCATAGTTAGTAGTGTTAATTGCAGTAAATACAATTTAATTTCCACGCCAGCTGAGAACTGGCTACGGAAATTATAAACATTTTTATGACATTGGTGACAATTTCAATTTGAATAGCATCTGCAGATGTATTCATACCGCGTCTATTTTTAAATTAAATGTGTTACTTTGTTAACATTTTACGAAAGTGTTCTCGAAGTACAAGAATTCATAAAAAAAACTTTATATCCCACTAAAGCTCGCTTGTCAAATCTCAAAATACATAAAACATCTTTTTAAATTAAATACTATTAAGATTTCTAATTATTACGATATCCGTAAAGAATCACAATAAAAACTCAACACAAATTATATATTGACACCAGATATTAATATACAAGTGATAAAGATAATAAAATACGTAAATGAAAGTTGAAAAGGAAGCAATGAAAACAAAAAGTACCTGAGAGATTATGAAAATGTAAAATATCTTTAAAGCCAAAAACACCGGCTTTAGTGACACTTTGGAAATCAGTTATTCCGAAAAGAAGACTTTTATAACATCTAGATTAAGAGCCGGCAAGCATTTGAAAATATATTTCAATTTCCTTAAGATTGAAAAAGGAGTTTATTTAAACAAATGTATAAAAAATAGAAGAGAAGTGTTTAATATTTCACTTACAAAAATGCAACTTGATCAATGAATATGAATAATCTTTCAGATTTTTTCAACTGTGATATTGGACTATTACAAGGGGAAATAACTTTTCTATGATTGCTCGTTTCTTTATTTATGAATGATGTTGAAATGTCCTTACAGCATGATCAAACAGCATGTATTACATTAGATCAAATTTCCATATATTTGTTATTATTTGCAGATGATGCTGTTATATTTTCTGAAACTGCAGAAGGTTTATAACTGTCGCTAATATGGCAAGGCGATACGAGTCATAACTGCGGACATATATCTTTCAAGTCTACCAATAAGTTTTATCGATCGTGCTTTTGTGTGAGATGTCCCTGCTCCCCATTATATACTCTCATATATTGCTTGGCTGAAATTAGATATATGAAAAACGTTTTAAGGGTTATAACAAGCAAAATATTACATTAAAAAGGTTAAGATAACAAAAACCTCATAGCAACAATGCTACAAATTTCTTGTCATAATCATGATAATACATTTATGACAACAGTATTTACATCAATTTAAACTACATGATTTTAGTTCATTACCTGTCTGGTTCTGCACTTGAATTTGCTGAAACATAAAATAACACAAAAATTGTTGGCTATTTGTTATAAAATAAGTGAAAAGGGAAAATGGAATATTAATTTGTTAACATTAGAAATACATACACGAGCAACGGTAAATGTTGAAATAAATTAAAATGTTTATTCCATTGGTTAGTATTGCTAAATGATCTTCAAAAACAAATAACAATTATCGAGTTATATACTAGATCACAACAGAATTCTGATTTACAATAAAATCGTGTACATATATGATAACAATAAGTATCTGTAATGCAAACATTTTTCAGTATCAACTGTTGGCCAATCTTCATTTTACAGTCAATCTTTTGAAATATATAGTCAATTCAGCTTAACTTGGCAAATCATAATTTCACGTATTTACGAGTAATTCAATTAAACTTCAAACTTTACGCAATGGAATACATCAGCATCATTTCCTATATAAAGTCAAAATATTCGAGTATGAGGTATTTTAAGTACCATGACATTTATTACAATGTGTTAAACTTGAAAGTTGCAATTCATCTCATATGGAAAGTTGAAGACGAGTTTATTATGCTCCTCCACCAAATATACACGTTTCATTTGTTGATTAAGTCATACAAACAATATTTCCTTATTATTTTTAATACGTTTTAAATAAGCGGAAGTACAATGCGGGATAGAACAGACAAATATGAAACCCGATAACCTTAACTTGAAAAGTAGCTAAAGGTGATGTCCCTTATTTGTTTATTCATAATCATGTTAGAATTGAAAATACATCGATCTTGTCTTTGCTCACGATAAACAACTGCCAGTTGTTTTCATGCAGATATTTTAAAAACACAATCTTCGTTATCAATTACTATGTATCAAAACAACAAAAAGGTGATACAAATACTACTCAGAGCGATATTGATTCTTTGATAATTAGAATAATGTCATAAATAATTTGTCACGATATCAATAATGGATCAGTAAAATAAACAGATTAATGCCAAAATGCATGCTATTTGATTTTAAAAGTGGACAAATTGAGAGAATAATGTCAAAATCCATTTCATACGAAGTCCATAAAGGATTAGTAAAATATACTGATTGATGCAAAAAACCATATGTGGGTTGATATCAGTAATGGACCAGTAAATATATTGATTAATGTCAAAATCTATTTGTGAAATATCATAAAAGATCAGTTAAATAGTTCACAATGTAAAATAGTCAAGAAAGTTATACCGTCTACGTAATAATAAGACATCCTGCTTTCAGCATCTGTTCTCTTATATATATATATATATATACCTTTTAACCATCTGTACTATCTTTAACTATTAAGTGTATCTAATTATTAAGTTCATTTCAGCATGAATTGTATTTAGTTGGAAGTGATGATAACCATGTGGAAAAACAACAATATTTTCTATTTTAATCAATGTAAAAACAATAAATGGCGGTTACTTACGGTGAATGTGACGGAACATTAAATAATTCTGTTTCTGGAGACAATGATGTTGGCTGGTGTTTATTCTTCAGGCCTATTTCATAAAATAGGATATCAGGTATTTTAAAAAAAGTTTTCAAACTTCTGATCCTAGTGATACGCTAGGGTGAACGTTTCGGTTGTCAAAAATATCGTTTTCGTGCGTCCGTTTTTCGCGTAACGTGCGTGCGAATATCGTGCAACGTGCGTTTGATGAAACGCTTTCTCAAGCGTGCATCGTTTACAAATGTTTAACATTTATCGTTTTCCGTGTATCGTGTTTCCTTTATCATGCGTTTGAGAGCAAGCGTTTGCTATCGCTTAGCGTGCGTATGCGTCCGTTTATCGTTTGGTCCAGATCGTTTAACTAGCTATGACTGCTTCAGAAAATCTGTCATTAGTTTAGAACATATAGTCGAAGCGAAAAGATTGTAAACTTTATATGATAATATTTGTCAGTTTTTTTTAAGTAAAATATTTTCTATAAATAATATAAATTTAGTGTTGTTAACTCGATCATTCGATCTAGTTGTGACCTAATGATGAAGAATCATGAACACCGTTCATCGACGCGCGTAATTCACACATAGATTCAGCCCTTGTCTTGAAAATATGTTTGTCTGCCGGTATGCAATATAGGTTTTCTTTTTGTTTAAAAATGTTATATTAATTCCATTCGCTTCTGTGTATTTGACTCGATGATTTGATCGTTGATCTAGAAGTTGAAGTTTCTACCATTCTTTTTATTTTCATTTACGCCAGAAGCAGTGCCGACGTAATAAACGTTTATCTAGAGATAACTGGGCTAAAACAAAGTATTTTGTCAGAAATGCGAATAAAGACGAACCCGTTGATTTTTTTAATATTAGCGCATGATAGCTTATAATTCTAAAAATCATTTGTTGAGGCTGCACAACAAAAATAATTTTGTGCCAGGTAGAGTGCATTACAACTCTAACATAAACTTAAACCCGTTTAAAATACATGTATAGTTATCATTTAATCAACTCGCTAACGATCTAGCTAATTAAGTTGTTAAAAACTTAAATGATAAGGATATTTTATAAAACGTTTAGAAACGTTTTTATTTTGCGTGCGTTTTACCGTGCGTATTTCGTTTAGCGTATTTCGTTTAGCGTATATCGTTTTGCATGCGTCTGAGTATTTCGATTGGTAAAGCGTGCGTGTAACGTTCGTTCGTATAGCGTGTAACGTGCGTGCGTTTTTTTCCGGAGCGTGTGTTTTGCATGTAAACTGAAACGTTCACCCTACTGTAAGTAAAAAACACAGTTGTCGGTGTCAGAATTTCGGTTTATCGAGCATTTAGTTCATACAACGAATTTTCAATATATTCAACTTTATTTCACAAAGTAAACTTATATTAGAAAAATATAAAAGTGACATTTTAAAAGTTAACTGAAACAAGGACCTTTATTTAAATTTTTTTTAAATTTTTTTAAGTAGGTGTGCGTTTTGGGCTTACGGCACACTATTGCTCGATGTACCATTATTGGGTCCATGACAAAAAATTTATAGTTAACTAGGAGTTTCTGATCCTACTAATTTAATTCCGTTATTAAAAGTACCTGTTACTGTCCGTTTTCTCTTAATAACAACCAATGTAAAAACCACAACGATGAAAACACCAACAGTTATTGAGGGAATGGCAATCGCGACTGCAATAACAAAAGCACAACGTAATTCTTGATAGTGACAGTTTATGAGGTTTATGTAATTAAAGAATTATACTCTCACTATTTAACTCAAAAGATACCTAAAGGGTATAAAGCTATAGTATCTAATTAAACCTGTGTGTACTATGTATTATATTGCCCCGAAAAAAAAACTGAAATAGTCTCAATTATTTTGTGAACTGTAACAAAACTGAACAAACATCCGCTAAATCTGTCACCTTGCACTGCTGATGTCATGAGCCATGAACTATATTTCATCAAAGATTTAAACATAAACCCAAACATAAGGTCAAGTGCTGGTGATTCAGAAAAGTTTTTATTTTTAACCTTCAATATTCTTGTGAGAATTTATTAAAATATCCTTCTCTTAGATCTGACTTCAACACGTATAGCGCTTTTAGAACCAGATTCACTGATAACATTATTTGAGGACCCTGCTTTGTTCCATGTATTTGCCTAATAAGTATCAATTGAACGTCAATTTGGTAGGAAATTGGTAGTTCGCAATTCATAACAATTTAACAGCTTGTAGTTGGTAATATCATCCAATATTACCAGCATGAAATGTTTGAACACATTATGCATTTTTGATAAAATAAAAATGATAGGACCTAGTTGGTAATTCGCCTATTAACTACCAGAATGTAGTCGGTGATTCGAACATAACATGTTTCCCCTAAAAACAAAGTATTTCTGTGGAATAAATATAATGGATATATAGCAAGATAGATGCGTTCATCCACATTGAAACGCCCAGTCTCGGTATCTATGTCCTCAAGGAGATTCAGTTAGTTATGCCGAGTGTACCACACTATCTACTGGTTGGATGGTAATTCGGATATTGCATATATTCATTTGAAAACAGAAAGTATTTTTCTGAAACAAATGTTACGGGTATATATCAAGATATGTGTTTACGATGATAAAGTAACATCCATTTCACCATAAGTCCACCAGGGCACTCCTTCGCGTGAAACCCCAACTAACAAATAGAAGGTATTGGGTTTTTGGAATTTATTTTTTGGTATTTCTCTAAGAAAAAGCATTTTTAGAATAAAAGTAACAGATTTATGACAAGATACATGTAGATGAAGTCTACCACATGGTAATACCACCGTCTCCCTTTGTCGTTGGTTTTTCGCGCAAAAAACTTTAAATGCCCCATCCTTTATTCTGTGTTTCAAAGGGCATGATGTGTTCGAACCTTTCATGCTGGTAAAAGTTGATTGAACTACCAACTTTCAGCTTTTAAATAGGGAATTACGAAAAAAATCTACTTCCAGCTAGTAGGTTATTCAAATATCCAACTACCTACTTCCTACTAAATTGACATTCATATATATTCCTCTAAGACGTGATATATTAAGATTTTGCAAATTGTCAGCGATGCCCGGAACGGATGTTTACAATCACTATTGAATCAATTCCAGGATTTGTTTGACGCAAACAGCAGTATAGGTTATAATTACAAATCCTCAGCTGCACATAGTCACTATGAAGCCACCTTCGGACAACTGGACGACGAATCGCGAAAAGTATAACTCCCATTGGCCTTAAGGAAATTGACATTATAAAAAAGTGAGAGGTAATAGTATCTTGTATTTTCCAAACCGAGACAGCTTTCAAACAATAGATTACCAGTTTAAGACATCATTAAACAAATGTTAACTGTAGTAGAGATCGTGTAATGGGTGTCTCTAGATACAAATGTATATAGTACGTCACGGCTTTGTCTTTTTTCTGCCGTATTTATTTGAATGATTCAGGAAAGCAGTTCCAATATTGTTTTGTTTTTTGTTTCATAATCCGACCATGTTCAATGTTTGAAAACATATTATTATCATCATCATTATCAACATTATAAGTTTAAAAATATGATTATTGTAATACTGATACATTTAATTACTATTTAGTTGTTTGAGAAATGTTAAATAAACACCTTTTTAATACACAAAGAGAAAATATGATACGTTTTAAACTAAACAAAGTACAGGTATCAACAGTATGATAACAGTGTCATTACAAAAATTGACAGTTTTTTTTATAAGAATAGACAAAACTAAGTTGACAAGTAATAGAAAAGAAACATAGGTTATAGTATACTTACTCATATAAGACATATTCATGATTTCAATAAATTTCTGCAATAAAATTATTTTACACAAAGATGATCAAAATATATCTTTAATGCTTTGAATATTCAAACTTATTGCAAAAATGCATGTTTTTTTTTTAAAAAAAAGTTCTTATAACCTTGGAATGACTTGAACATGATAAAGCTATCACTTGTATTTCTTTAGAACTACGTCGATGTATGTGTTGTGTTTAAATTTTAACCTTCTTGGAGTTAACCTTTACATTCAGTTCAAGAGATACTATGGGCCTGTTATCAAGATAATAAATATATATCAAATATAATTTTATGACAATAGAAATATACGGTATGATTATGTTTTAGCTTCATCATAAAATATATTTTAAAATAGTCTCTTACTGTTGTGTTGCTTTCGAAAGAACGTTAAGGTTTTTACCGTCATGCCTTATATGAAATAAACTCACACTAAAGAAGGAAACCGTGTTTTTTTCTCTAAACATTTTGTACTTAATACTTACTAATTCAGAAAAAAAAACATTTGAGTTATGAAAGTTTACTTAATTTCAAAACTAACCAATTAACCATTGGTATTGTTTTTTGTAACTATTTCTGTTGATTAAGAACGATTTCAGTGTATATTTAAAAGAAAATGATAATCTCCTTATGATAAGTGGAAGACACACTTGTGGTTTTACTTAAGTATTTTTTTCTTAGAATTTTACTTTAAAAATTTAGAATATCCATGACCCCAAGTGAAGGGCAAATTTATAGTACAGTTACATTGATAAGATGATGAAACAAGTTTACTTTGATATATCAATGATATAAGCGCAGAAAAGAGTCGTTTTAAGCAGAATGCAATCGAAAGTCTACAAATGTAATAAAGCTCATACATACACTTACAAAACTCTAGTTATTACATGATGATAAAGTTTAAAGCTTTAAAGCCTCCAGATAAGCCAAAGTAGTTCAAGAAAATAAATATTGAGTAAAATATACTAAAATTTTAAGAAAGGTAAAAACATTCAAGATCCAAGTGATATACAAAATGTACAGATTAACCTTTTCCCTCATATAAGTGTGTTTTGACGGCTTTTTGCCCCTCCCTCCCACCCGTTTTGAGGCATCAAACAATGAGAACATTCCATATTTAGGCCCCAAACACTGTTTTTCGTTTGAGAAATGTTGTTAAAAAGTGATCACTTTTCGGCGCGGTCCCATCAAAATGATACATCAGAGGGTTGCCAGAAGGGTGATGTGCCCCTTTCTGTTTGGGGTTTTTTAAGGGGTTGGCAGACTCCTCATCGCCAAGAAAACTTTGGACATGTAAAAGGCTAAAATTGGTCTCAGGACGATCTTAAGGTAACGTGTAACCAACGCTGAAACGGCGCGTAACTAAAACACGCCACATATCGGGGCCGCAGGAAAAGGTTAACTTAAATTTACACTCCGTTTAGATTATTATGATACGATTTATCTTCATAAAACTGTGTGAATTTGTATGACAATGGTCGAGTAAACCATGAAACTTCTTCACGTGCATATTGCCATTCCAGACTTGCATTTTACTCATACTAGTGTGGAGTATATGTATCAGTAAGGCTCCTTCCTAGTTAAGCAGATTGTTCAATTTTCAAAGTTCCACATTTACTTAAACTGTTACCGCCTGTAAAAACGGCTTTAAGACATGAAAATGAACGGAACATCGTACAAAAAGGAACGAAATGGCATTTTTATCATCATATACACATCATCATTTACACAACATCACCATTTCAAATAAAAAAATTTTGTTATAAAATTAATGAAACAAATAAAAGAACAACAACATTTCACTACCAGTACCAGTACCGATAAAGTCTCGACCGGATGCTGAAATCAGTATGCGGTTGTCATGGTTTCGAAAATAAAGAAAAGGAAATCGATGTTGATTTAAAGCAGAGAATTCCAGCGTAAGAATAGTAATACGTCTGGCAGTTACGTGAAACTCGACATTCCTCAGCTTGAAAGTGGTAAACAAGAATGTGAGGGTATTAAAAAGAGTCTTACGCTTGTCATGATCAACGAAGACTACGCGTATAACAAGTTGACCCATGTCTACACGGATGGGTCAGCCACAAGAGCAACCAAAGACAGAGGGGCTGGTATTCTTATCATACACCCATTAGGTCATCGAGTAACGCACCATATAGAAAGCACTGCAGCAACTTCAAAGCAGATACTTTTTTTTCTTTTTTTCACTAGATTTGCAACATAGCGTACGAAGTGGTTCGTAGTTAGCACAATCTGGACTCAAATCAATGTCTATTCTATGCCCGCTTTTCTACTTAAATCAATCGGAAGGAAAGACGAAACCTTAAATCTCTGTTTATTTCCAGCCTTTTTCCTGTTACAGTTGACATTATGATGTTTCTTGTACATAAAAATGTTTGTTCTCAAAAAGTGTTAAATTGTATTAGATATGTAATTGATCGGTTTATGTGTGTCTAAATGGGTGTCAATGAATGAACGTTTATGCTCATACTTACATAATGTTTCTTTTTTATTGTGAAACTATGAAAATGACATGTTGTTTTTATAAAATCATTCTGCCAGTAATATTTATATTCAAACAAAGATTAAAAGATGAACAGATAGTATGTTTATGCTTGTATTTACATAACAAATGGTATTATATAGCAAAGGCATTAAAGTACAACAACATCTACACATGAAATATGTTTAGTTACGTCATTTTATATTTTTACAGATAAAAATGTTCTGTCTAAATAGACAATGATTTTTTCTTATGAAACTAAAATAATGATACAGTGTTTTAACCATAATGAATAGAAATATTCTTATTGACTTGCAATACACCTTTACATACATTTTGAAGGAATTTCTTTCAATTGTTGACAACTCTTTTACACTATACAACTGTAGCAATCACACTCCAATATGTCGATTATTTGAGTTCAGATGAAAATCATTGTATTGTTTAACTGAACCATAAACGGAACAATAATGTAAATAATATTGACGATGTGAACATAGTTCGCAAATGTTCTCATGCTTAATACAATTATAATAATTCTTGAACATGAAAACATTAGAAAAGCACGGAAACAGTTATTTATCTTTGATTCTTAGCTAAAAGTGAAGTAATAATTATAAAAAGTAACTCAAAATAAATGCACTTGCTTTAGCATAAAAAATAAATGTTAAATTCAATTTGATATAGTTTAAAATAATGGAAGGAAAACTACGATAAGTGGATAAATCTTGAAGAATAACCATTTAAACCTGAAGTTGCCAGTGCACGAGAATAAGATAAATGTATGAAGCCTCATTAGTGTTTCTTAGGGTATGCCTTTACAATAATAAATTAGCAAATCACGCAAAACCCATAAAATTGTGTCAGAGGCACGTCAAGGTTGGTTATGTATAGTGCATTTGTCTTGACCTCTTAAATATTGGACGACATGTGTCGAACCCTTCGAGGCAGATATCTCAAATCTACAACACGTTTTATCGGCTGTGCTTAAGATCTGTATAAGTGTGAGATGTATCTGCTCCATGCTCCAGACTCTCATACTGAGGTTGGCTAAAAGTGGAAAGATGCGTAAAAAGTCTTATAAATGTTATAACTAGGTGTAGGTCATTTATTTTATATCCCTAATTGATTTTACACACATTTGCAAACTAAAGATGCTCAAATATCAATTTCAGTCATTTGAAAACAATAAGCAAAAATTAATTAAATGAATAAAAAAATGTAAATAAATAAAAAAAAATTAAGAACAAATAGTAAGAGATCATACTTCATGTACTTATACAAAAACATTAAGTACATTATTTTTAACTGAGTATTATATTTTCTCTTCTGTTCACTTAAACGTTTATTTGTTTGTTATAATGCCTGTTGTAACACTTGTTGGTCATTTATCGGCGTTCAGTCTACCTTATTTTTGCCTTTACCAGAAGTTACAAATTTCTCCACATGTAACCTATTCTAAGCTGACATAATTTCTAAATCAGTGGTAAAAGACGAATACCCAATTGTCTCGATGTCTGAGATCAATTTTTACAGAGCAATTTTGCCTCGCCCTGGGGTCGAATTAGGGATCCATGGATTTCAAATTTTATTTCTTCATATTTTTACACATAATGTGTTATATTGATATCGAATCATAAAGTATTTAGACTTTATTAGAAACATCACATACAATAAGTATTTGTACTTTTCATTGATTGTTGTACTAAATCTTATTAATTCTATATATTACCTTTTTGGTACGGAGCTGGCGTTTGCTGAAACATTATTTTGACAAAGATATTAAAATTCGTTATTTTCCGTATACTATTGTATATTTTTCTAAACACTTCAGATATATACTACAACAAATATTAATTTATATTTTTATACTGAAATATTTCAGAATAATAAAAGTGAATTTAAAATTTGCACTAATTTATCTGTTTTATACACCGTTATAATACATTTTCAAATCATATGGACCCGAATGATCATAAATAAAATTAATGTTGAAGTAAATGAGAAATCATTAACGACACGAACTATTAGTTTGCAGTAAAAATATAACATACCATCCAAGGACTCATATGTATCTCTATTTTCAGTATCCGTTCTGTTCTGAAGTTGTTCGTAATTGTTCCTAAAAGAAATAATTTTCAAACGATAACAAAATCAATTTTGAAAGAAGCAATATAAATGACACGGTCACAACAGCAGCAGTTAATGTTGATGAAAGCGTTAATCATACTACAGCATTGTCTGGTAGAAATTTAATAATTTATATTGTGTATTTATTATGACGCTTGAATAAACCTTAAAACCATTTTTTACCTTTCATAAAACATGACTAGTATTTAGTTGGATTTAAGAAGTGCAAATCTATGCGATTTTACAAAAGAAAAAATAACATAAATAGCAATTAACTTACGATGTTAATGGCGGTTCTGTAAATTCTGTTTCTTGAGTCACTTTTGGCTGAGGTTGATTTTGCTTCCTTGAGTCTGTTTGATCAAATAATATATGAAAAAGTGTTTCGAAATCTGAGCTGTTGTTCCAAACAGTAATGAAAAAATCTTAAAAACGTTTCTAAAACACAAGTCTGCTATACATTCGTAATAAAACTGATCAAGATTAACGCATAAGTAAAGCCTTTAAATAATCGTCAGTGTTAAAAACATATAACTTCAAAAACTAATTGTTCTTGAATGACTTATAATAAATGTTAAAAGCAGATGGAGACAAATATCAATTTCAAAAATATATGTTAGAATGGTTTTCAAATCGTCTTTGATTATCCTGGAGTATTTCAATCGTCATTCGATGAGTTCCGTAAAAGTACGAAAATCAGTGCCACATTAAATTGAATAGAAACATCAATGGCAGAATATCGTAAGTGGGTCATGATAACTATAACTTGTAGAATTCTACAAAAGCTACATTCCAAATATCTAAGTTCTGACCTTCGTAGTTTCACCCATTAAGACTTAAACAATGTGTTTTCCTCCCATGGTGGACCAATACTGACTGATTAATATCAGTTTTGCAGCGGTCCACAAGGTAACGCTACATGCTAAATATCTTAGCAAAATATTGGCATTGCGATGTAAAACGTTATACACAACAATACCTAAATGTTTATCTAATAAAGGTTATATGAATTAACTCCCGGGAAGGCAATAAATTGACTCAAACAGCTAAAACATTTATTGTTCAATATATCTGCCTAACTGTTTGATTTTTTAACATTTGAAGACTAAATGATACGTAGCGGACACAAAATTTTAAAATTCATGCGAAGTGACTTTGACCATAACTCGAGTTAGGTCAAAACTGCGCTCTGCATGTTGCCTCATTATGGTCAACATTTCTGCCAGAAACTGAAAATGTAAATTGTGTAACTACATAATTGCTTGGACTTGCCTTTGATGTTTGAGGGAAAAGAATGAAGCCACCATTCATCCCTGCATAATTGTAAGAGACGACTAAAATTGTTGGAAAAAGTGAAATATTAATTAAATTAAACCGAGCATGCAACATTTCCAATTTTGCCGCGTCGGGCTTTCTTTAGGGGTTCTTATTTCACTCTAATTTAAAATCTAACAGGTGAGCTGGTTGTGATCCCTGATGTTGCTTTATAGTTTGAAACACCCGAGGTTAGCCAAAATCATCTCTCCTGTTTTGAGACATATAGCCTATACTTCGTTGGTGCACCGTCAGACGACTTTATAAAAAATTGCAATGTCCTATGTATGAATAACGAGCAACAGATAAGATGATGTTACCTTTTGCCATTCCTTTTCTGCTTAGAATAAACCAGACACAAATTGCCCCGATGATAAGCCCAATAGCTAATGCACCAATAACCGACCCAATAATTGCTACATCTCCAACACAGTTTTCATTTTTGCCTGAAATATCAATGCCCGTCTTTATTTTACGTGCATTACGTTTTTTCGGACATTCCTGCTAGATAAAGCACATGCCATGACCTGTAGAATCTGTAGCAGGTAATTGTTACTTAATTGCCAGTTACAACCTTTCACACAAAACCTTATATATTCAATAATGTTAAATGCAATAAACGCAATCGCCTCCAAAGGACAAATAGAACAACAATGACCACATTCTTAATTTACCTGTTGTACTCCTAGTATTGCCTTGTTCTCGATAATCATTGTCAGCTGTAATATAAAACAAAACAAATTTTTCAAACTAAAGAATGAATGAACTATCAATATGAGGGTTGTTCAAATTGAAATGCATACTTTTGCACAGATCTCACAAGATATAAACTTAATGCTTCCGAGGGATCACTTTGTTTCCAGATTTTTTTACATCGTGTAATCCAAAAGCCTTAAGTTGATACAGCTCATGTGTAAATCAGTTCAGTCTACTTCTGACAGTACATTGAGAAACAGGACATATTTCAAGGAAAAGGTTCTGATTGTGGACATGAAGCAGAGATGTAAGAAACTTGCAAGCGATGTAAGAAGTTTGCAAGCGATTAAATGTCTTTAGCAGATGCCACGCGAGGTCAACGTAAAAAGGCAACAACATCCCCAAATTATTGCAAATGCCATGAAAAGGTATATTTTGGCTCAAGATTTACAGTCCGCCGAAAATCTCGTACAGTAGGAATCTAGAAAAGGATCTGCTCCTATCATTATAAAGCGAGATCTAAAATGGAGACTATATGAGCGCGATGGCTATTCCATCATTTGAATGGAACACAAAAACGTCTCCGGGTATAATATCCTTAATATCGTCACTTATGATTAGACATGGGTACATTTTCATGAGTAATAAATGAGTTTCAAAAAATGATATAGACTCCTAAACATGCAGATCAAGCATACCACAATTGTCAAAAAGGTCAAGTATGCCTTTAATTTATTACCAATGAAAGTCCTGCTTTACTAATTATTTACCAAAAGTACAATTTGTCAATGGTGAATTTTACAGAGGACCTGTTATTCATCAAAACTTAGAAAATACTTCAACAAACGCATTTGAAAATTCAATGAAATGCTGAAATTGTGCATAGCATATGATGGAAAGTACTCTGAAGAAAAACGGTAATAAGTTTTGCTCAGTTTAAAATCCTTTTCACAAAACCTTTTGATTGCATTGCAATTTGGTCAAACCTCGTAATGATTCATATTTATAGTAATTATTGTTATCCTTCTTCTTAATCTTAATTAGCTCTATTGGGTTATTTTACGTTGTGTAATATTTGAGTATAATGCAAACATTGTTCAAATAAACGTTAATTAAGAGTCGTATTTTCAGTAGAATCGGAAAGGTTTCTAGCCATTGAAATTGAAATAAAATATTGAAAATATTGAATTCGTGGACAAATATGACAGTCTGTGAAGTAAAGAGGTAAAAGGATACATTGTTTAATCTTGATTTGTTGTTATCCTTAATATATTTTTTCAATGGGAAAAGATGAATATCTCAAAATGCTACATACAAGTTCGAAAATATTTTTTGTGCAATTCAATATTCACCAGACAAAAACATAAACAAAAAGAATAATAATTTACATTTGCCAATTCTTAGTATTACATTCTGTACTCATTTTACCCCCTGTTTTTCTAGATTAGCTATAATTTGAAATGAAAAATAACAATATATGCGGGACGATTATATCTAAATGCGACTTAATCACGTAAGAAGCACGCGTGAATGTGTGCGTGCGCGTATAATGAATGTGCGTGTATGCTTGTGTGTAGGCGCTCTTGTTTACAAGTCTGAATGGTTTAATCTTAAATATCTTCTTACTCTGAATATATCCAATCATTCAGAAAAGATAAATACATACAAGTTCGAAGATATATTTTGTGCAATTCAATATTCACAATAAAGCCACGTTGACAAATATAATCACAAAGTACATGTTATAACATTTACCTGTTGTCCTCATTGTATAGCCTGTTTCTCCATAATCTGGTTTAGCTGTAAAATATAATGCAATAATAACAAGATATGCGGCTTCAAACTTTATTGAGGATGGCCAATCAAAACCTTCCATTTTTTGAAAATATATATGAAATGCAAATTTATGTAATAAATTCTTAAACGATTACAACGCATTAATTATATTGCTCTGGTTGAGGTCAATGAGAAGTTGAAATATTAGAGGCTTAAATATAACATTGTTCTAGAGATGTTATCAAAATTGAGGAAATACTTCAACAAATCCATTTGATGGAATGAAAATGCTGCGATTGTGCATATCACATGCTGGAGAGTACTCTGAGTAAAGTGATAATCAGTTTTGCCTAGTTTAAAAACCTTCTTACAAACCGAATCGGATTGCAATGTAATTAAGTCACATCTCGTAATGTTTCATATCAAATTCTTATATTATTCAATTTAAATTTCATTAAGTCTCATTAAGCTCTTTCGGGTTCTTTCACGTTTTGTAAAATTTTGAGTATATTGAAAGAATGCTTTGATTGCATTGATCTATTTAAAGTTAATGAAAAGTAATATATTCAGTGGGGTCCTAAACATAATTTAATAGAATCGTTAGGGTTTCTAGCCATTGAACCTGAAATAAAGTATTGGAAAATGTTGAATTCGTGGACATATGGCAGTCTGAAGATAAAAAGAAAAAAAATATATTGTTTAGTCTTAACTCTTTTGTAACCCTTAATATATTGTTACAGTTGGAAAAGATGAATAACTAAGAATTCTACAAGCAAGTTCGAAAATGTTTTTGTGCAATTGAACATTCATAAGACAAACAATAAACAAATGGAATACAAATGTACATTTTCTAATTCTTAGTTTTACCTGTGGTACTCATTGTATCTCCTCTTTCTCCGTTATCTAGGTTAGCTGTAATATAAAATGAAAAATGACAATAATTGTGGGAGCTGATTATATCTTAATGACGAATAATTCTCATAGGGTACACGCTTGTGCTAGTAGACACTTGTTCTTTGCGTCCTTGTCTGTGTACGGGCGCTCTTGTTTACGTAAGTTCATGTACAGTTATATATCTACAGGTCTGTGATAACTGTTATTGAGATGTGATATTGCCGTATTAAAATCCTGGCAGGATAGTAGATGATATATTCTACTTTACATGATTATAAGTTTATTAAAAAATCTAAGAAAAATGGCCAATTAGTAATGCTCGATATCTAATCATTGTAATCCTTCTATTTATTGGAAGTTAGAGATGAAATAAATGTTCGGGTTCTATCCCGTTTGTAAAATGTTGAGTATGACAAAATCATTCTATTCACATTTAATGAAAAGTCGTATTTTAGTGGCTCCTTGAAATAATTAAACAGAATAGTAAGGGTTTCTAGCTATTGAAACAGAATAAAGGACGGAAAATTGAATTTGTCTGCCATTCTGAAGAACTTAAAAAAAGATTGTTAAATCTTAAATCTATTGTAACCCTGAATATATTCAATCAACCGGAAATGATAAATATCTAAGAATGCTACCTACAAGTTCGAAGATATTCAATTTTTACAATAAAACTACGTAGACAAATATAATCACAACGTACATTTTCTAACATTTACCTGTTGTCCTCATTGTATAGGCTGTTTCTCCATAATTAAGTTTAGTTGTAATATTGAATGAATGAAATAATAACAACATATATGCGGGCTCAAACATTGCAAACATAAGCACACATTTTAAATTCAACAACAAATTTGCAACATTACACAAATATAGCGCAATAGACCTTTGTCATAATCAATTATGTATCATCAAGTAAGAACTTCGAGTATCAAAGTTTTGTAAACCTTGTAGCGTCATTATTATGTAAAAATAAAGTGACCTTTGTCACATGTCCGTCCGGTCCACCCGGACTTGCAGGCACACTGACCAGTATAACGATTGCAGGAGTCGTGTATACTGTTATTACAATTACAAGGCCACTTGCAGTTTGGTCCGTATGTACCATGCAAACAATCTGAAACGGGATAAAATATTCCTATTAACTAAGTAAATGATATAAAACTATTTTATATGCCATTATAAATGAATAAATGTATTTCTTTTGTTATTTATCTAAGTCTGTCGATTCATGTATTCTGTGGCAAACAAACGATCAAGTACTATGATCAGTTTAGTCAGCATTAGGACCATACAAATAGTTTATTCAGGAAGTGCGTAACAAAATAACATAATAACATATTTTGAAAATTTCACAACTGAAAATCTGTAATAATTAAAATGTTACTGCACACATATATACAAGTTATTTATTAAAAGCTAAGTGCGTAAACATATATATTTTTTCTTTTCAAAATTACTTACATAAATGAAACGTTTATGCATTACCATTTTGTTCTTTTATAATAAATACTTTCAAATATAAATAATGTTTATACATTTTTACAGAAGGGACAAATTTTATGAATAGCAAAATGCTCTAAAAATAGTTATAAGGATATTTCTTCTTTTATCAATCATTGTCAAGACGATTTAAAAGAAACATTAATGCCCATAATCTAAAATTTAACAACTACTGTAGCAAATTCACTGAGATAACGCCCTGAATAAACAATGCCAGACGAACCAGAATGAAATAGCATGCGTAGCACACTTTCCTACGATGCTATTAGCCTTCTTTTGAAAATTCCCTTTTAATACATATATGTTCTTTTTTCTGCTTTACCCAAAATATTATCCCCTTTACAATTCCAATCCTTTTGTCATATTAACTATATAAAATGACCATAATACATAATCTCATTGTCCGATTATAAATGCTGTTTATCACATAATTTCATTTTCGTGTCCATGTTAATGAGATAAATTCCAAATTACAGAATCCACTATATTTTTATCTAGACTATATTTATACCGCAATTTTACAATGTCGTTTTTCTATCTACTATCATTAGATTGTACCGTTATCACAAAACGTTCCGTGCCAACCTGACGTGCAGTTACAAGATCCGTCAACGGCATTGCACGTGCTGTTATTACTACATCCACACTTTTGTTCGCAATTTACACCATAAAAACCTCTTGAACATTCTTTAAAACAAAAAGAAATAGTTTGAAGATATCATTCTAACTTACATTAAAATATTTCCGAGGTTTTTGGGTAAACATAATTTAAAGTTATTCGTCGAATATAAGGTAATTATGTTTAAAAACCCTAGATGTAAATATGATCCATATCTGATAACACTAAGAGAACGACCCTTTATATGAAATAAATATTTTAGTTTTAACATTTTGATAATGTTTTAGCCTTAAAATCACCTAGACAACATACCTTTCGTACAATTGTAACCAAAGTATCCTGGCTCACAAAAGCAGGAACCTGTTCCCATGTCACAATGTGCCGGACACCAGTTACAGTTATGGGTGCAGTTAGAACCAGTCATGTCTTCTTCACAACCTACCAATAATATTAACGTTTAACTTTAAAAGAACGGATAAACTTTGTATTTTTACACGACCTAACCAAGCCAAAGAAACTGGTAAATCGCTTTTGTTTCTCTTTGCAAGCGACATAAATACAGTATAAATAACAATATTTTGAGCAGAAATTACTTGCTTGAATGTCAGTTGATTCTTAAAAGTAAACATTCGAGGAATATTTGTTACTTTATCTATAGATAGAGCAATTATGTGAATAAAGATATTTCTTCTTTTTTGATGCAATTGTTATAACGTCAATGAAAAACCGAATGACGTCACGAGTATATCATGCCGAGTATGATCTATATAACTGTAGCAACTACGGTATTATGAATATCTCCACATTCTCTATCGCACAAAATGTAACGGGAAGAATAACTTATATAGAAGCAGGTTATGCGCGTTTGAGTTCAGGCCTAGCCATAGTCAGCTACCTCCTATATATATTCCTCACAAACTGCATTATCTACCGTGTGCAATTGTACTAGTACTGCAAAGCTTCGAACTCAGGTTTTCTTTAAAGATCTCTTAATTATAGTAAACACGCATTCAGCTGTTTGCAGGCATTTTGGATCCCGTCATTGCATTGATTATTTGATAACTTATCCAAAATAATAATTTAGCCACTGTATATAATGTTGTATATACTAAATATTTTTGGATTTATTTATACAATGGGTACTTTATACTCCGGTACAAATATGTAGTCCCACCTGCAGGATTAAATTTTCGATATTGTGGATTATTAAATATATTCCAATATTGACTGTCACTGTGTCATGTGTATGAACCTTTAAAATGCATGAACATTTTATTTACCTGGCTTACATTCATCATTAACAGTACCAGGGCAGCATCTGACAACCATATAATTAGCTCGCACAGTTATTAACCTCGTGACTATTCTGAAATACGGAACAAAACACTCATATTTTTGGTTGATTTGAATCAAATATATTTCTCTTTTCTCACGACTTCGTTTGAAGTTATGAACATAGTAAAAGCATAAAAGAACTTCAAATTTGTTGAACAAAAATTGTTTCAACATGATTGCATCTTAGCATATATTACAGTATCTGAAATTGATTTAGTACAAATATTTTGCCATCTTTAAGTGTTCAACCTCAACAGATGGGGACAATTTCAGCATTTTAATCTTATTCTTTAACGCATTTTCACAGTCTTTACTAGGCAAATCATGCAATTTTTATCCATGCGCACGAAAGGAATTCAAACAGTTAATGGCTGGCAAATATGGAAGTTGAGAGAGTTAACACATAGTATCTTGACATGAAGTTTCTGTTATAAGATACATTTGAATTAACAGAGATTGCACTTTTATAACGAAAGTACTAATATAATAAAAAGTGATAAGAACATGACACAACAAGTTTAATAATTGATTTCTAAATTTATCTTGCATTCAACTCGGGGTAAAGTTGATATATTGCAATTATTATGAATTTAAAATTAAAATTCTGGAAACAAAGTGATCCCTCGGAAGCATTAATCACAACCAAATTACAAGTTACTTGCAGACTCGGTTTGATTGAGTTTACATATCACTATCGTTTCGTTTAAAGCTTTGAAATTCAAAACAAATCAGTTGAATCTTAAGAATTCACAGTAACGGAAAAAACAATATTACCAATATTTATAAATTACCAAACAGCACATATATATGTTTAAACAAATTAAAAAGGAGATAGATCTACTCGCGTTTGTAGAAAAACAGGAAACATCTCTTCAAAAACTTGCAGGATTGGCATTATAAAGTTTAATAAAAGGTACTCACTTATATTTTGTCGAACATATAAAACCACTGAAATAGCAAGTCCTGTAAGGTACTCTCGAAGACATTATTTTGTGATTCGCACGGCTGAAAATTAATTATAATTTCTTCAATTAGCAGTCAAAAAGACAAAAACCTGTTTAGAAAATTCATATTTTAGTTTTATTTTGAATTGTAACACGTTTGTGAATTAATATGATAATAAACACTATTGTACTTAGTGAATGGAGCACAAATTGAGTGCAATTGCTTGTTTACTATAAAAATAAAATATGTGAAGAAATTTAAAGAGCATTTAAGCCAGCTTATGTACCTGCCTTGTCTATGTCAAAACATACATCAAGTGCCAATATGCCCTTTTTTAAGAACTCGGTAGTCTTTTATACGCATTTATATAGGTAATCAATCAAGTTAATTGACTGATGTTTTTTCAGCTCAACGTATTGTCGTCCGTCGGTCCGTCCGTTCGTGTGTTAACTTTTTCATCTCCAATACCGCTTGGCAAAATTAAATGAAACGTGACTGGCATATTTCTTGCAAGAAGATCTACCAAAGTTATTACAAGAATAAAATTTTAAAAAATCCCTTTGTCAAAAATCAGGTGTAGAGCCTTGATATTTGGTTTGTAACATTATTTAGTTGTCCTCTAAAAAGATTGTTCATATAATGACCCTAAAGTTAAAAGGGGCCCTGCCAGGTGGGGACATCAGTTTAATATGAAGTTATATAGGGAAATCTTAGCAAGCTTCTTGTCAAAATTCACAAGGCCTAGAGCTTTGATATTTGGTATGAAACATGATCTGGTGGTCTTCTACAAGATTGTTCAAATTATGCTCTTAGGGTCAAAAGGGGCCCCGCTATGGGGGTACTCGATTTAAAAAATGGTCTTTAAAATCTACTTTTCAAAAACCACAGCTTTGATAGTTGGTTTGTAACATCATCTAGTGGTCCTCTACAAAGATTGTTCAAACTATGACCGTAGGTTCAAAAGGGGTCCTGCCAGGGGGCTTATCGGTTTTAAATAAAGCTATATAGGGACAATCTTTTTGTCAAGATCATTAAGGCGTTGAGCCTTGGTATTTGGTATGTAATACACAGATTGTTCAAATTATGCCCCTAGAATCAAAAGGGGCCCTGTCAGGGTGCTCATTACTTTAATATTAAGTTATATAGGGAGAATCCTCTTGTCAAAATCCACAAGACGTAGAGCCTTGACAATTCGTATATATATGATGGAGTGGTCCTCTACAAAGATTGTTCAAATTATTCCAGTAGGATGAAAAACACAAGCCCTAGAGGCTTTATATTTGGCATGTAACTTCATTTAGTGGTCTTCTAGAAAGATTGTCCATGTTATCCTCCTAGGGTCAAAAGGGATCCCATTAGGGACCTCATCAGTTTTACATAGAGTTGTATAGGAAAATCTTTAAAAAGATCTTTTTGTCAAATATCACAAGGCCTAGAGCTTTGATATTTGCTACGTAACATCATCTAGTTATTTTCTACAAAAGCAAAGTGTCAAAAGAGGCCCGCCAAGGGGTCGTCAGTTTTACAGCTTTAAATAGAGTTATATAGGAATCTAAAGAAATCATTTTTTAAAAAACAACAAATCCTGGGGCTTTGATATTTTATATGTAACATCATCTTGTCCTCTTCTAAAATGATTGTTCAAATCATACACTAAGTATATAAAGGGGCCTCATAAGGGAATTAATAGATTTTTACATAGAGTTATATAGAAAAAATCCATACAAATTTTTTTTTTTCAAAAACCACAGGGCTTCGAGCCTTGATATTTGGTATATAACATCATGTAGTGGTCCATACAAATAAAATGCACCTATGGTGAACATCATCCCATTTGGGGGCTCATCAGTTTGACATAGAGTTATACTAAAGTTTTTAAAAGAAATATATTCTTGGGCCTAGAACTTTAATATTTAGTATGTAACATCACCAAGTGGTCCTGTTCAATTATTTTTCAAATTATGCCCCTAGGGTCAAAAGGGCCCCAAATGGGGCCTCATCAGTTTTACATAAAGTTATATTGGGAAATTAAAAAATCTTGTTAAAAACCAAAAGGCCTAGTGCTTTGATATTTGGTATGTAATATAATCTAGTGATTCTCTACAAAGAAATTTTGCTCCTATGCGGAAAGGGGCCCGCCTGTTTGTCTTCACAGCATACACCCATGCCTCAGGTAAGCGACCCAGGTCAAAGGGCCATCTTGTAATTTTTTGTGTTTTCTAAATTATTCTGAACGCGTTAATTAATAAACGTGGTAGTATCTTATCCAAGGACTGCAGACCTTTTTGTATTACCATGAAAGTGCACTTTATTCATGGTTATAAGAGCACGAGACTTTTATCTGTGTGTTTTTTTTGTTTTGTTTTGGCGGTTTAAGTCGATTAGAAAGAAAAATTAGAGTAATGTAGTGTTAAAAGAGACCGGATAAATACTACGGTAATCAAACAGAAGTACCCTTTGCGTGCTATTTGGCAAAGAACTCACTAGACATTGTTATAGGAATAAAAAAGAAATCAACAATCAAACAGCTTTGCATTTGCAGTTACCGTTATGGTCAGTGACCATACTCGATGAAACCAAGCCTGTTACATTTTGCAATTTTATGTGCTCTTTAGGATTTTTGTGTTTTTCATTTTTTTAAATAGAAAGAAAGGGAGACATTATGTGTTATCTTACTTGTCTAACAGCGTAAAAATAGCATACAACAAATTAGCAAGCTTTGTATTAAATGCATTTGAAAAGTCTCTGAGCGTTGTTATAGAATCACAGGAGATAACATCTGACATAAAATTATATATTAAAAGAAATACACTATATATCTCTTTTATTTTAAACTTTATTTCAGGAATATGTAATGAAATATTTGAAAAAAGAACAAACATTTTTCAATTTTCTATTTTCACGCTTCGAATTAATCTCTCCCTACAGAAATTAAAAGTTTCAGACGTGAAATCGAATTTGTAAATCCTTCAACATAGTCCTTCCTATGACTGAAAATGGTCAAACACATTAATACTGTACAAACACATTAAGAATATAATTCCTGTATTAAAGCTATAATTATTTTTGAGCCTGTCAGTGATATGCGGGCTTCATAATATCAGATCTCCTTTCAAAAGTCCGTTTTCTTTAGTTCCGCCCACTGGTTTTTCGTCAAGGGCATATGCCATTTTTACGTGGGGACCATGCACTGCTTTTGATAAAATGGCACGCAAAATGTTGTATACTGATCCAGCCAGTGCAATGAGGCCTGGACGTAGCTTGCACATACCACTGCCGTCCATCGAACTAAACCTGCTGCCTTTTTGGCCTTTCTGAGGATCAGTGTTCTCTTTAACATTATTTTCGTATGTTGCAATAGGAAAACTGAGGTATTTGCGTCACTAGGAAATTATCATATTGTAAGTACGTCAAATGAATAGCCGTTGTAATATTAACACAAAAGTGGTATTAAATAATTGCTTACGAAACAAAGCACTTCCAACAAACACATAAACTGTGTTTATGTATTCTCTGTCTGTTGTTATTGAAATGAAGGAAACATCTTGTAGCAAATTGTTATAACTTTTAATACTTCAGTATTGGCATCATTTCAAGTCGTATAGACGATAGAAATCTGTTCATAAATGGCAGACAAGACACATGTTATATTAACTATACATTTGAAATGTCTTTGATACTTACTATTGTGAAGTTGTGTAATTTGTCTCTCCCCTTGTACAAATATTTGCTAAAGACTGGCCTTCTAAAAGAAGCGTTATCATAGTGATACCAATCATCTTTATCTTCGGATTTTCAGGGTGTCTTATATTATTCTGCAATAACACATGTACATTGAGTGTAGACAGTTTAGATTATATCATTCACGATAGACAGACAAAATAATACATATATGATAAACAAAAGATATAAATTTCATACTGATGCTTTTACGATTGGATGGTTGAGGATAATGCATACTTTTAATATGTTACGTATATTTATGCTGGATGTTATTTATTTTACCTGAGTTAATAAAAATAATGTTTTAAAGTAACTCCTATCTGTAATAGCCTCAATCGTGAAAGTTGCCTAGATTATATGACAGTGAATCTCTTAATGCATGTATATTACAGTGCGCGTATTTTGTACTCATTCCATTAAGCATAAAACAAAATAGAAATTAAAACAAGATTGCATTTGAGAAAAATGCTATGCCACCACATTTATACAACACTGAATAGTAGTGTAGGAACAGAATTGTTTTGTTTCTATACAATTGAAGATTGTCAAAATGCATAGATCCCTGACCTCTCTAATTCTTATTATAAGATTGGTGGTTAAATACAATATTGTTAATCCAATAAAAGATCAGAGTAGGAATATATCAATGCACTTGAGTCTAGTGAATTCGGTGGTGAAGGTTATATTTCACACAGCCTAAATTTCATGACTACATCAAAGAACAACACAGTAAGACACTTTGTCAAAATCTAGGTCAGCTGATATCAAAGTTCACTTTACATCTTAATCTGTGCACATGGTTCAAATTCATAGCTGTTCATCAAAGGACAAGAAAGTAGGTCACATCATCAAAATCTAGGTCACCTGATATCAAAGTTCAATTTTACAACTAAAACTGTGCACATGGTCAAAATTTTATTGCTGTACATCAAATGACAAGAAAGTAAGTCACTGTCCCCTTTGGCAAGACAAAATTTTGACCCAATGGTAAAATTCAAAACAATCTTGATACAGGTCCACCAAACAACATTTCAAGTCAAATATCTAAGCTGTAGCTTTCTCCCATTCAGAAAACATTTGTTTTATTTGCTGTTTTTACTATGATTGTGTACATAATGAGAATCACTGCACCTGGGCAGGGCCAATTTTGACACCAGGGGAAAAATTAGAACAACTTTGGTAGAGGACCTATAGATGATATTATATTGCAAACATCAAAGCTCTATGCCTTGTACTTCCAGACAAAAATATTTTTTATTTTTTTACTATATGTACATAATGAAAATCAATGACCCCCGGGGCGGAACTAATTTCGACCCCAGGGCTATAATTTGAACAATCTTGGTAGAGGTTCACTTCGCAAAGTCTTATGCCATATATTTAACCCCTACCCTTTGTCAATTCAGAGAAGAAGATTTTTCATGTTTTTACTTTATACATATAAGGAAATCTATCGCCTCTGGGGCAGGGCAATTTTAACACTAGGGGCATAATTTAAACAACTTAGTAGAGGACCCATAGGTGATATTATATATCAAATATCAAAGCTCTTAGCCTTGTACCTTCAGGCAAGAAGATTTTTTTAATTTTTTACTATATGTAAATATGAAAATCAATGACCCCTGGGGGTGGGGCCCATTTTGACCCCTGGGCTATAATTTGTACAATCTTGCTTAAGGTTCACTACACGATGTTTCATGCAAAATATCTTAAATCTAGCCTTTGTAAATTTAGAGAAGATGATTTTTAAAGTTTTTACTATATACATATAAGGAAAACCTATGGCCCCCGGTGCGGGGCTACTTTTGACACTAGAGGCAAAATTTGAACAACTTTGGTAGAGTACCTATAGATGATATCATTTAACAAATATTAAAGCTCTAAGCCTTGTACCTTCAGACAATAAGATGTTTTGATTTTTTACTATATGTATATATTGAAAATCAATGACCCCAAGGGCGGGGGCAATTTTGACCCCAGGGCTATAATTTGAACAATCTTGCTAGAGGTTCACGTCACAATGTTTCATGCAAAATATCTACCCTCTAGCATTTGTCAATTGCTAGAAGAATTTTTTTTAAAGTTTTTTTTTTAAAGTTTTTACTAAAGGTTTTTACTGTATACATATAAGGAAAACCAATGTCCCCGGGGCGGGTCGATTTTGACCCCAGGGCTATAATTTGAATAATCTGGGTAGAGGTCTACCAGACCATGCCTTATGCAAAATATCTAAGCTCTAGGCCTTTTGGGTCTTTACAAGAAGGTATTTTAAGTTTTGAGTCTTTTGACTATATGTACATATAGTGAAATTCAATGACCCCCGGGGCGGGGCCAATTTCGACCCCAGGGCTATAATTTGAACAATATTGGTAAGGGTCTACCAGACAATGCCTTATGCAAAATATCTAAGCTCTAGGTCTTTTAGGTCTTTACAAGAAGGTATTTAAAGTTTTTACTATATGTACATATAGTGAAAATCAATGACCCCCGGGCGGTGCCGATTTTGACCCAAGGGCTATAATTTGAACAATGTTGGTAGAGGTCTACCAGACAATGCCTTATGCAAAATAGCTAAGCTTTTAGCCTTTTGGGTCTTTACAAGAGGATTTTTAAATTTATTCTTATAATTCCTTTTGGTTGCCATGGCAACCAGATTTCTGCATGGAATGAAATTTTTTGAACAGCTTTGGTAGCCCTTTACCCAAGGAGCAATCCTGCCAAGTTTGGTTGAAATTGGACTAGTGGTTTTTCACAAGAAGATTTTTTAAGTTCACTATATAATCTATAGAACACACACACACATACACACCAACACACACACCAACACACCAACACACACACATACACACACACAGGTGAATCGCTATATGCCACCGCATCGCAGATGCTGCGGTGGCATAAAAATGTGCATTATTTAACTGATTCTTCAAGCACATAAATATGGAATACATGCATACAACCTCAGTAAAAGAGTTGATAAACATTCTGACAGGATAAGATTCAATTAACCTCATAGCATATATATAAATGGACTTTCGTTTGATTTCTTAAATAGCACGCAACTTAATAAATGGTGGATATAAATACATCTTAATATTGAAGGAAAAATTAGCTTCCCAAGTTCAACAGTTTATGTTAAGGATTTGAGTAAGTTAATTTTATTCGATTACAATTTCTTTCGGGTTTAGGAATAAAATTATAAACATGTACAAAAACAACATGTACAAAAGAACATTTTCGAAATTAAATGGATTCTAATATCAATATTTTTAACAATCAAACATGTTTTGGTATCAGATCATAATCAAGGAGTTTTTAAAATGTTATTTTTATCTCTTTGTGGCTTTTTTGGCCGACGTTGTGCTAAAATATAACACAACAATATAGACATGTTTTTTTGAAATTCATATTTTAAAATGGAACTAACAAGTTCTCCTAATAATTGTTTGTATGACAATGGTCATTTTAATGAAAGTTTGTTATGCATCCCCTATTCACGTTGATGTTTTTGTTAAATTAAGTAATTAGTATTGACTAACAATGATTGTCGTTGGCCTCAGCAGCAGAAGAGTGATTCCGATGTTATATACACCAAAGCTGAAATGAATAAATTAAAGAATAAATTATCAAGCTGAAATGAATGAATTAAAGAATAAATTATATCTAGACATCAAAAGAAGGTAAAGCAAGTGTTACAAAACTCTTTGTGTTCTTGGGGGTCAGAGATGTTGCACTTTTAATAATCCCCCATGTACATACTCAATTAAACCGAGTCTGCAACATTCATATAGTTTGGTTGTTTTTAATGCTTCCGAGGGATCACACTGTATTCAAATTTTTCTGACAGATATTGAACTTATGATAAAGTTGGTCCTAACTGATTGCTTGACATTTGAAAAAACTCCTGAAGCCAACAAGTAAGACATGGAACGGAAACAATTGTGGTTTCAGAAAGAAAAAAGGTCACACGATCCTATGAAAATCAAACATGATACCATATCCTACTAAACAAATATCGGTTAAGGCAAAGGGTGTATTCTCCTTGTGACAAAAGGGTTGCCTTTACAACAATATTTAACCCACAGGCACGAGTATCGGACCTGGGAAGAAAAAATACGACCAGATTGATAAAAAAAAACCTGTGTTCATCTTAAAAGTGTCAAAAAAACAAAAAAATGTAAATAATGACCCCCTTTAAAAATATACTATAAGTTAAGAGAAGGCCGGAAACTCCAGATTCGAGCCTACGAGCAAGGGATTCATTTCCCGGGTCGTTGTGAAAACAATTGGCCAGACAATTAAAAAAAACTTTTATCACTACTTCACGTTTATATTAAGCTTCAAAATGAGACCAACCCCAAGTCTCTAGCCCTTCCCGTTCATGAAATATCTATCAGGAAACGAGCGAATTCGTGCTGAAAATCCTTGGTAGACAGAATTTCTGGCACAGCAATTCGATACGTAAACATAGACTAATACATGTATGTCAGCTGAGTATGGGTCAAAATCACTTGAATTTACTAAATAATATTACTAAATACATAACCAACTCACAACCGTCAGTAGCATCTGATACACGCAAAATTCGAATTTCAAACCTTTCCACGGTCTTTAGATTACTTTCTACGCCATTGTCAATCAGCTGTTCGATATTTTGTAACGAGTCTTCTGATTGGCCAATAGCAACGAAAACCGCAACGTTTCACACAAAGATGCCTAATGGCGTAGAAAGCGATTGAAAGACCGTGTAAATGTTTGAAACTCGAATCTCGTGTGTATCAGATGCTACTGACGGTTGTGAGTGGTCCAACTTAATGTATTTATTAATATTATTTAGTAAATTCAAGTAATTTTGACCCGTAGTCAGCTGACATACATGTATTAGTCTATGTTTACATACCGAATTGTTGTGCCGCAATTCTGTCTACCAAGGATTTTTAGCACGAATTCGCTCGTTTCCTGATAGATATTTCATGAACGGGAAGGGCTAGAGACTTGGGGTTGGTCTCATTTTGAAGCTTAATATAAACGGGAAATAGTGATAAAAGTTCTTTTTTAATTGTCTGGCCAATTGTTTTCACAACGGCCCGGGAAATGAATCCCTTACTCGTAGGCTCGAATCTGGAGTTTCCGGCCTTCTCTTAACTTATAGTATATTTTAAAAGGGGGTCATTATTTACATTTGTTTTTTGTTTTTTTCACACTTTTAAGATGAACACAGGTTTTTTTTAATCAATCTGGTCATATTTTTTCTTCCCAGGTCCGATACTCGTGCCTGTGATTTAACCCTGCGTAATCGTTAAAGGCTACTAAATGTGTTAGAATATCAAGGGTCTATGCATCTATTAGCTCCAGCAGGTGAGGTGGTTTTGACACATGGTAATAATTTTAATTTGCAACACCCGAGGTAAGCCAAAATATCCTTCCTCTTTCGATGACATATGACCAAACAAAACATACAAACAAATATCACTTGCAAACCAAGTCGAAAGATTCGGTCAGACTGAGTCTGAAATTTTCACCTTTTACTATTGTTGTCATTGCCCTCAAGGATTTTTTGCATTTCTTCCGGACTTCTTTCTAATATTCTTTAATACTTATTTTATTTCTAACCAAGTCATGTGAATAAATCCCTTTATAAACGACAGGGTGACGAACCTAAGTATATTAAAAAATAATTGTAGGTGGAATATTACTCTGATTAAAGCAGATTTTGTGTGTTTTTCTTTTAAATACGAACTAAAGTTTCCTCAAATAAAAGGTATACAATTTGTTAGGGGCACTTTCCTCAGCCGACTTTGACTGTAAGTTTCTTTAGATTCAGCAGTTGATATTTTAAGGTTTCTAATGACTTTACTGACATGATCTGTTTGATAAATACTGAAGAAAACGATAATTTACACCAGACAAGTGTTGGTCGATAACATATTTATAAGGGATTATGTATTCATTGAACAAAACACTATTAAGTTAATACAAAATATATATGATCAATGCTATTCTAGCCGTTGCCCGCCATGCATTTTGTCCAAAAGTTACGCAGGTTGGCCACCACAAATAAAGGTATATAACGTGATCGGTTGGTTGAATTGTCTTAAGATATAGTATTTTAGTGACGCTTTATTGATATATATATATACGATACGAACTACGATTATAGCGACAACAGACGGACTCACTCAAGACCTTATAATTATCCCCATTTCCAAAAAAAGAGATGCTCTTTGAATGTAACGGTGAATGTTAACACTATTTAATTTTTAATGGATTTATACATATCCAAAATTATAATCACTCTTTAAAATGTATTAATCATGTAATTATAAAATACTTTGACATGCATTTTTTGTTTCTACATGTAAGATACGGATACACTTATAAACTGAACGGATGATGCACTTACATGAGGTTAAGTGTTTAGTTAACTTGTATTTTAAAGCGTCGACTGTGAAATAATTTTTAAATGTATTGACTCCAAAACAAAATACTAAACTACTTGATGCAAAAATACAAACGAAGGAAATAGAGACTTAGCAATTTAGCCAATGGGTTACATTAAGAAAACTTTTATAAGATATCAAGTTTGAAACATAAAAATATCATCATTTTTAGGCTTAATATGCCATTAATTATAAACAAAATTATTTGCAGACGTCATGGTAAATTGTAACAAACTAGGAAAATAAAGTAAGAGACCATAGTAAGAAATTAGTAAATGGCTGAAAGTTAATAAAACTATACATCTGCTTTAAAAAATGCTTTAAATAAATAATAAAAAATCCAGAATCTCTTTTTAAGAAATAAGTTTGCAGATTTCCATATAAGCTCATTGCGTATGCAAGAAATCAATACTAAACGGTTAACAACGTACTCAAAATTACAATATGATATTTTGTCCCAGAATATTTTATTCAGTCAATATACACTATTCACGTTTGTTAGATAATAGAGACGTTTATTTTGTTACAACTCTTTGGAGAATCGACCATTATAGAATAGAAACAACATATTTTTACTGTAAATAAACTTTATGAAAAAATAACACGATATAAACCTTTAAATAAACATATTCAACCATGCAACAACATGACATTTATAGAAATGTTTATTGTTGCAACTTGAATATCCGCTGTTTTATTTAATATATAAATAACAGGTTTTACATATCCATTTCTAAGATATGACATGTTCACAAAGCAGGAACTACGTTTCACACTATTTGAGCTAATTTATAAACGAACTTGTCAGGTTTGTTAAAAGTGTTAATGATAGCTATTTAAAGTCACTTAATTTATTTTTATTCGTTAATTTAACATTTATTACAATTTTAGATTTAAATGATATTAATATGCAAATTCTTCAGGATAGATCCTGTTGTATAGTACTGGTATTTAAATTAACTATCCAATTATAAAGTTTACAAATCTTACAAGTAGAGAAAATAAATATTAAACTTACTGTTAGTATTAGATAATTGTTTATCCTCTAATCAACACCTATGATAATATCTAAATACGTAATTTAGTCAGTATTTTACAATGAAATGTATACCATCTTAAAATGACGAAAGTTTATTTCTTCCGAACATTGTTATTACTAAATATGTACGTTTTTTTTAGATTAACAAATTTGGACAATGTAATATATTTCATTTTAGTATATGACTAACAATTTCCCAGTACGACGATTGACTGTCAATAGAAAGTGTCATTGACCTCGACAAATTACGTCATAAAGCGTGACACTAAAGGATATGAAACCAATCGAAAGTGACTTTACAGGATATAGTGTGAACGTTACTTTAAACAACTATCATGTCCAAATTACAAATATTTGATTATCGAACTTTGATCCATCCGGTTATTATGAATTTCTACATGCTTCAAAAATTGATACAAATGTTGAACACATAATGATAACTTCTGCCATGTTTTCCTATCAATCTATTCTAGGTTCTAGTTACAAGATGTTCAATTTTGAACCTCAAAGAGTATAACGCTTACAAACGTACTTTTTTTAGTGACAAATGTGCTCAAGAGTCGTAAGCTATCATTGAACATTATTTTACACTGTAGATCTAACAGTCATAGCATTTTTGTAATATAATGCTAGTTTACATAGCCCATTTCTATTATTACTTTGCAGCAATGCAATAAATTTGTAATGTAAAGTAAAAATTCTTATACAAATGTCGATACAAATAAATCCATACATTCAAGCAAAAAAGACAAATAATGGATGATTAGCTACAAAAAATTGTACATAAAGTTTGGTTATCAAAATGATTCAATTATTAATAATAATAATAATAATAGAAAATAAAAGTTAAAGCAAACAAAGCCTTTTCAAATATTTTCTGGATCACTCGTAAAAGCTTAGTTTTTCTTTATATGAAAAACAAATAATTTACGTCATATTCAAACCTATACACTTTTACATAACAGAAAAAAAATATAATAAATATTTATGATGAATATGATAAAATATAAATATCTGCCGGCAATTCTTTTAAACAGAAAATTTTCCCCTTAATAGGTAAGTCGAGGTTTGAAAGGGCAGGGCACGGACTAACTCTTACTGAAAAAATATTCAATGCTTACGGATTAAAAACCCGTCAAATTCAGTGTTAAAATGAATAAGAGGTTATATTTTAAGTTTAAAAATTTTTAAAATTCGAATTTATACATTTTCCTGTTTCATTTACATTTCAAAATTTATTTTGATTATTATTAATAAACCATTCCCTTTTCAGTTTAATCTGGGACATAAAAGTCAATTGCCTATATGAAATTTATTTTACCTTCATTAAAGGTGACAACAAGACATTTCCGTGGTACTCGAAATGTATTTAAACCAATTTTTTAATAATAATTTTATTTATTTAATCTTGTGCATTATTCGTTGTCATCATAAAAAATAATATTTGAAAAATGCCCTTTGATAAAGATCGATTTTGATTAAAATTCCCTAAAATTTTAAATCGTCTTCAAAGTTTCAGTTTTTTTCATCAAACTTTTGATATAAAATACTTATAATATCTGGGGAACGTGTCTCAAATTTTTTTCTATCTTTTCTCAAAAGAATATTACGTAACGTCAAACATTTATGCGCTTTTTTCACCATACATATTACGTAATTTAAAGATAATTAAGTCGCTGACATGAGCAAACAAAAAATCCCTGACACGGTTCCTCCGGAAATAAATTCCCTTTCATGTGATTCGAAACCGCATGTTAATTGCTTGATTATTAAAAAAGTTATGCCGATTCAAAGTTAGTCCGACCCGCATCAAACGAAGTGTCATCAATCGGTTGTTCTCTCTCGGACCCCTACTTTTCACGCAAATTAATTGCATAACACACAAATATCGCACCAGAGAGGGTCACAAGTTGCGGTAACATATTCTAACAATATTTTATGACCAAGTGACATCTGACCAATTAAAAAGCTGCTGATTAATATCAGTTTATAGCAGAAATTTCTTCAAATCTTTACGTGATTTACTGTCCGTCTGGTATCTGTCTCACATGTCACGTGACTATCGGTAAAATATGAGGCACTTGGTGGGGGAAATGGAACGCATTTGCGCACTGCTAGCGGGGTATTTCATTGTTTCACTTTTAAAGTTTATTATTTTTGTCATCAGCATTATTATTTTATTGTATAATATACCAGTGTCACTCTGCCTGTGTATTCGAGTATGAAATTCCATTAAAATATAAATTAAAATAACAAAACATATTTTAATAGAAATAAAAGGTATTACTCGATCATTATGGTTTGACCGTCTTGACTTCTATTATCATGAATATCATCTTTGCACGGCTTCTACTGGGATATAAATAAATTTCATAATTTGTCCCGGGTTTAATAGTACTGTGTTCGATTTACTAGCGAACAATTTATTCAAAGCATTCACTGATAATATGTTTCAATATCTTTTTGTTTTGATTCATAGAGAAATAATCATCCTTAGACAATCATAGAAATGGTTTAGAAATTTGTCAGGGACCCCTTACCACAAAATAGAGATAAATAAGAAGTCATATAGGCGTTCACATACAAAATGTTGTCTGTTTTTTTGTTGTTGTTTTACTTGACATTGTTAGAAACGAGGTTGAATGTAAAGCAAGCCCTTGAATTCGTACAAAAGTCCATAAACTCAATGTAATATCTATCAGATTAACGGGACAAACAAATTATTATTTCACACATTATGCATATTTAAGCAACTACATTTTTTAGTCAACCCCGTGGTCGTGCGATTTGCCGCTATGCTTAATTATTTATGTTACATACTTTATGTTACGTAAATTGGTCGACAATTTAATAATTTATAAAAAAAAGCTAAATATAAGGTAGACGATAAATGTCGAGATATTCATAAAAGATGTGCAGTATTTGTACGATACATGTATTACGAGTAGTATGTAGCGGTAATTCACGGATATATGGAACTACCGATTTCCCTCATTGATGCCTCAACAGGGGGCGGAGCGTTATCGATAATTGACAGGTTACGCGAATAGCAGATAAAAAAGGGTATAGGTACCGTTTTAAAACGTTTTAAAACACATTTTTTGGACTAACTGCTTCCAAAATTAAATCACGAATGTGTTCAGAAATGGTTAATAAATCTACCAAGCAAATAATCTCATTTTAGGTGTTTTCAGTGATAATTGACTCCGTTGTCACCTTAAATAGGACCATCTATAAGTAAGTCACGAATATAAATTATATTCCAAAGTATCACTAATATTGCTATATACCCGTATGTAAGGGAATATAACACGGAAAAAATATTGTTGAAAAATTTACCATATAAATGTATTATCTTAATTCTATTACTGGCCACGTCTTTCCATCATTTCTACTGAAAAATGAAAAACAACAGATATATTGAGAAATATTCATTTGACAATACGTTAAAAAGAAAAATTGTAATGCTGACAAATACAATGAATGAGTAAATATTATGCAGGCTTGTTCATGGATCGAAATCCATCAAAATAATTATAGTTAATTTATGCATAACGTCATACAAATAAAATATAATAAGCAATACATTCAATGTGAAAACATTAAAATCATACCAAAATGTCCTTAAATCTTGTTAAAGCAATAATTATTTGTTAAAGATACAGACTGATCGAAAAACTACGTGAATAATTATGGAGGCTATTTGTTGCCAAAAATCCAGCCTTTGAAACTTGACAATGCATACTTCGGTTCTACTAAACAGATTAGTAAAAATCTAATTGTCGATCCGAGAGATACAAACTGCACTGATATTAATGCAGGTGTCACACTGTCCCAAATTTGACACCAGATAGGGATACGAATATGAAATTTTTAATTTCGTGCGAAGATAGCCCCGAAATTGGTCGACAGTCTCTCAACAGCCGAAACAAGTACGATTCCTACAGAAGGTCACGCGATCGCATCCGAGCCACACACGATTCCTGGCGAAGGTCACGCGATCGCATCCGATACACACACGAAGTCACCTCAAAGATGCAATTTTGTACAAAGTAGTTTACCAGTAGGTCACGCGAAGGTCACATCTAGGTACCCGACGTCGTATTTTGAGTTCGATGCCTTCGTACGTGGTTACGAAGGCGTCAAGTGACCTTTACCTCCGGGTGGTATACAACCCACGGCCAATCGCGGCAAATTTCAGTTGCAGATAGTATTGGGAGCTATTTAAACTACATGTGCGTTTAAACTTTATTTTGGCTCTTCATATTACTATCAAAAACAATTCTGTTCACACAAAAATCTATGATAAAAGTGACGACTTTGATTATGGTATAGTAAACTATCCACATTTAGATGGAGACGTACCGCATGCAACATCTGTCAAGGTATATGTATCTCAGTAAATTAGATTCGCTAAAGCTTTTAGAAACATGCAGGACTTTAACAAGCTAAATATTTTCATTATAAGCAAGCTACTCAAACAGGGCTACCTCTATTATAAATTACGTAGATATTTTACAAAATTTAATAATCGTAACTTTGATTCGATCTCAAAAATCAGTAGTGATTCAAAAATGATTTTAACGGAGATGTTATTTACAAACTTCTCAAGATCTTTGGTCATTGTTGCCTTTACTAAAAATTTTAAAACGTTTAACCAAAGGAGGTTTGACTTTTTTAGATATACCGCATGCATAGTGTTCAACACTTTAACAGTTGGTCCTTTCCTTTTTTGATTACATCTGACGGACCAAGTGGGATACTCTATGATGGACAGTTCTTAATGCCCTTTGGGACTGAATTGCCTTAATGTTCGTCTTCTGCCTTGATTCGTCGGGCCCTTGTAGGTGATTATTTTGTTACTCCTCTGTCTTCCTTTAAATTATTGACTACTTTTGTTATGGTCATATGGGTATTCCTTTATATGTATCAACATAATAATCTCGGTGTTTTACTTAGTTTACCTTTTGAAACCATAACAACTGTTATAACTTTACATTGCGGGGATTCATTTTATTTACACCGTCTCGTTTATAGGAACATGGTGGCATAAGAGTTATTTTTGGGTTTAAACTCACCAGCAGTGCTTATGCTGCTGACCGGTCCAAGGCGGCGCCCCTCTTTGTTCCTCAGATGCATGTCTTTGTTATTTCATACTGTTTTGGTGACACTTTTGTCCCTAGTTTTATTTA